TTTTCGGGGTTTTCTCGCCATAAGGAACCCATATCTGGGCATATCTCCGCGCATGAAAATGGCCAAATTAGCCTTTTCCAAGTCTTTCCAGGTCCGCACTCAATGGACTGCGCCGAAAATTTATCGCTCCCCGCCTCCGTAATTTCGGACTCTGCCCACTTACGCGTATTTTCCACCGAATGCGGACCTGGAAAGCTTAAAGGAAAACTCAATTTCGCCATTCTCATGCGTTAAAAAGCCCAGGATGGGTTCCTCATGGCGAGGAGGCTCCGAAAAAGTGATAAATTGAGAACGAAATACTATCGGCACACTGCCTCTAATAGCTGCTGAAATGCCGGGAGTATATATGAAGCAGCGCAAGGTGAGCGCGGATCGATTGCTAGGATCCGAGCTGCTGGATCTGTGATCTGTGACATTCTCACTGAGAAAGGTGTATGCAATACCGTTCTTTCAAGTCATAACCTGACCTCATAAAAATTCAAAAAAAAAGAAGTAACCAAACTCACATCGTAATCTCCTTTGAAGCAGACAAAGCAATCGCGACACATGTGATAACGGCGCAGACCATGTACAGCAATGTGGCTCATTGTGTACGTTGATCCAGGCATCTAAAACGTATTTATCGCACTGATTGCCTGATTTACGAGAAGAAAGAGTTGGAAAATGACTAATAACCTGGATATTCCATTGATTCAGTGTACCACAAAGTGGGCAGCAGGTTCCTTCCACACCATTCACACTATAAACATCTCTTTGTTGAAAAGGCAGATGAATGCAGAAGGGAAAAATATGCAGACTGACCTTTCGTAGCTCGAGTGTTGTTGATCATGTTTCGCTTTCGCAAATGGTGAACAGAATCGAAACATACATGCACTATAAACATCAATATTAACAATAAAAATGACTAAAGACACTCCACGACAAATCAACTACAAACCTCGATGAATACGCAGTTTCCGCCCTGTGCTTATTATTTATGTGAATCCGAAGATTCGTAAGAGTTGACAACGGCTCTCGACATTTTGGAAATGGGCATTGCAGCTCATAGTGTAATGGTCGGAACAGCTGACCTAAAAATAACGAATAATTAAAAATGTGGAGGCTAAAAAACACGATTTCAAAAATACGCGTACCTCTCTCAACACATTTCTGCTCCGCAACCTTGACGTGCACGGTGAAGTAATGCTTCATAGCTTCAACCTCATCCATCTGCGCGCTGGCACAATCCAAACAGAACCATTTCTAGACAAAATAATTTTTGCTAATCTCATAAAACAATTTAAAGTAGGGCATTTACTGTGAGGGCATTTACTTACCATTCCATTCTTATGCAGCTCGTGCAAAGACATGATCTGGGCTGATGGCATAGGAGCTTCGCATACCTGGAAAGTGTAAATTATAGCAGATACTTCAATATATGTTAGATTCAATAAGCGTGTCCAAGATT